TTTAGGGAAACTACCATATGGGGTCTATCAAAGGATATTCTAGGGTTCTAAAGCGATTCTATAAGAATACTGTTGATGGATGAAATCTTGCATCACCTAGGGTCCCTAAACTACTGTAATTCCTAGAAACTTTAAGGACTTTAAGTGGTGCAAGATTTCCTCCACCAACAGCAGTTTGGGGGATCTTTAGGGTTTAGGGTTTGAACAAAATCGAGTTGAAGCTTCTTCGCCCTGTTGAGCCCTTCATCGCCTACCCTACAGACTCAAAGGGTTTAGGGTTTAGGGTCCCCAACCTTATCCCTGAAACCTTAGACCTTCGGTGGTGGTATACTAGGAATGTAAAAGGACAGAAATATGGTCAACAGTACCCTTATTGTCACTACGGAAGCTACTAAAAATCTTGCATGGCCCCGAAGTACCTTGTATTTTGGGATTCATGGCACTATAGTCTGATAAGGCCATGGAGGATTATTAGCATCCACAGTATTACTGGATAGGGGGGCCACCTAACATAGACCCTACGCCCTAAACATCGACCAAACGAATCAAACTCGCCCCGGGATGCTTCACATCTACATCCTTCGAGGTGACAGAGGGTTTAGGGTCTTCTAAGTCTGAAGACATTCCGTAGGCAAAGCCTGCACAAGGCACGCATAAAATCTGACTGGAGTAGTGTTTTATTTGGGGATATTACGGTACTTAATAGAGGATAAGGCTGTGTTCTCCTTTTGAGACAATCGAACTTGGTTCGACCACGAAACGACACTACACGCCTGTCATATGCGTCATCTACCCTGCCCCAAACTAACATGGTACCCCTATGGGGCCCTTTCAAAAAGGACAGCAGTCTGCCACCACGGGGAGGATACTTCTTAAGTATTGCATACTCCGCCCCTACGCCTCATAAAAAGGATCTTGGACAACATGTAGCCAAGCGTTGACTCTTGTAGTGGACAATGCGGAAGCTGTAGCCCGAAAGCCTAAACACGGTTTCAGGGGTTTAGCCCCAAAAGCTGTAGTCCCTTAACCCTAACCCCTAAAACCTAAGACCTTCAACTATCAACTCCAGTTGAGCGGTACAGCCCAAACGAACCCTTAACCTTGCTTCCTCAACCCAATAAAACACCAACTCCCAACCCAGAAGCCAGACCCCGAAAAGGGATTTCAAATTCAGATCCACTAGGATGATAGAAGGAACTATGGCACTTCTATGGGGGGTATTCACGGGTTTTCTGGGTTTGGATATCGGATCTACGTTAAGCTCCCCCCAAGGTTCTGCGGACCTTCAGAGCCACCAAATCCAAAAATGCTCCGCTCTGCTGAGGGCCAACAACGTCGAGGCGGAGTCAGACGCTGAGATTGTGGCACAATACACAGATGGGCATTTCTCAATATTATCCCTATACAATCCCTAATAAGGACCCCCATAATCCCCATATAATCCCTATATCCCCTTGGGGTCCCTAGGGTACCCCCTTTTTGAGAAACTCCCAGATGGGCAGGGGTTTATGATTATAGGGTTTAGGGTTTAAGGCATAGGGTTAGGGGTTTAAGGTTGCGGGGTTGGGAGGCTCTCAAATGGGGGCTTAAGGTTGCAAAATCTATGAAAACACAAAGCAGCAAACCAGGACAATTTTGAGCAATTGTCACGTTTTGCACGCGTGCAAATGTCAGCAATTGTGCCTTTTTGTGCTGTTTTGCACAAGGCATGCGCTCACCCATGTGCCGCGAAACCGCACAATTGTAGACAAACGTGGCCTATTGTCTACGTGCGCCCTTACGCACGCCTCAAGACGTCCCCGTTACCAAACAAAGTATGGTAGTTTCCCAAAATACGGGGACCCTAATATAGACCCCAAAATACTACAGGCCTTATTATTGGGAGCCCCCCAAAATGGTACCCCTAATTTTGGGAACCCTAAACCCTAAACCCTAAGTATAGCTTTCTTTTTATAACATGCCCGGCAGAAGGGTTTGGCCTATGACGTGCTGCCGTGAGGTCGGCCTAATGTCTCATTGCTTAAGGCGTAGGGCTTAGGGTTGAGAGTTTTGGGTTTTGGGTTTTAGTGCTTAGGGCTTTGGGTTTAGAGGGATTATGGGTTAGGATGGTTTAGGCTTTATGGCTTAGGGCTTTTGGGTTTGGGGCTTAGAGTTTCCTAGGATTTAGTGTTCAGGGCTTAGGCTTTAGGATGCTTTAGGCCTTAATCTTTAGGTTATTTCCAATGCTGATTGTTTTTCTCAGGTGGTGTTTAGCACGGTTCACGCGAAGTATGCAGAGATGGTTGGGTTCATGAACCCCCAAACCCTAAGCTCCAAACCCCTAAACCTCTAAAACCCCTTAACCGGAAAGCCCTGAACCCTAAGCCCTAAGCCCTAAACCCTAAAAGCCTAAGCCCTAAACCCTAAAGCCTAGAACCTAAACCCAACTGAAGCCATCTACAGGCGGCTAAATCCCATAACCCGAGAAACGGCCTAGAGCTGGGCTTCCCTTATGAGCTATAGTCTAAACTCCTCAAAGGGAGTTATATAAGGGGTTTGGGGTTAGGGTTCAGGGGAGGGATTATACAGGGAACTACTACAGCGTTATTAAGGGGATATTAGGAGTTTAGACCAGGGCTCCCTTATGGCACTTCTTCTTGCAGCTGTCAAGATCATAGGGGTGATTGGGTGGTTTAGGGTCTAGGGTTTAGGCGTTTAGGATCTAGGGTTTAGGGTTTAGGGTCTAGGGGGGCCCTGACCTTGGTGCTCCCAAATTCGGTTCACTGGATCCTTGGGCCTTACTAAGGTAAACTAAGGGACACCCAGGGGGGGGGGGGGTAGTAGGGGAAGGCCTTAAAACACTTTTCACTTTTCAAACGCTGAGTGCCCCCAAAAGGCATGTGGCTGGCGTTTTGGCGGCCTTACTGCCGGGCAAGCCTTCATGATTTCCCTCGAATATCACCCCCCCCCCCATGCACTCCCCTATCAATATGCGAGCTACTGCCAATATTTGCTTTACGAAGAGACCATTAAGATTGGACATAAAGGTCCCTCTTGCAAGTTAAATTAGTCCCTAATACATTTCACTCATAGGGACCCATGTCCATGAACTTTCTAGGGAAATAAACATTGACTGTAGGTCGGATACCCCCCATATGCTACAATATGCTGAAGCCCTAAACCCTACGTACAAGGGGGAGCATTCAGCATTCGCCGGTTGGGTTGGGGGGTGTCTTACTCAAAGGAGAAGTCTACCATTTTATCCGTAGTTGTATATGGGGTTTCAGGTTTAGGGATTAGGGTTTTGGGAGTAGGGATTAGGGTTCAGGGTTTGGATTTTTTAATTGGATACTATAGTCCTCTAGAGGTCAAACTTGTATCCTGCGCTCGAGTATAGTATTTGCATAAGAAGATGTAATCTTATTTGGTTCAACCGCCACAAACAGAACTAAGGTTCTTCTCAGAAGACAAGTACTACGCGAAGGACTTCCTCAGGCAGCTGAAATGTGTAATGGACGTCAAGATGATTTAAGCTACCACGATCAGGAAACCTTGGTATTTACTGTATACATACCTGTTAAGGTGTAAAGGCTTGGGGTCCAGCGGGTAGCTTCATTGAACTTCCTTTGCATCGGCCTAGTTATTGTTTTTGTTGCGGGGGTGTGGTCCGGGCCTCTAAACCCTAAACCCAAACCCAAACGTATCGGGCGTATTGAGGGCTTTTGAGGTTTGGACTTCAGCTCTAAACCCTAGACCTACTAAACCCCAAATCCTTAAACCTACTTCCTAAACCCTTAATATGGGCCCTTCGGCCTTTCAGGGGACCCTAAGGGTACATATAGGGTGTATATTGGGTACTAAACCCTAAACCCTTCCTAAACCCCTTCAACCCCTCAAACTGGGTGGGTGATGAGGTTATTCTAGGGTGTGGGGTTCCATGGATTGGGGTTTTGGGGTTTAGGATTAGGGTTTAGGGCCAGGGTTCAGGGCTTAGGCCACTAGCACCAATAATGGAGAATCAAGTGGCAAAGGAACATGAAAAGCGCAATGGAAACTCCTATTTCGGGCTTAGGGTTTACTTGGAGGATGTTTTGTTTTAGTAAGTCTGCTCAGTAACACAGGCTATGCAGCCTACAATGGGGACGGTTGCTGAACTTACTACTTAGGGGCTTAGGGTTTAGGGTATCAGCCAACTAGGGTTCATGAGGTTTGGTGCATTTCATCATATTTCATCCCTACCCGACTATGAGCGCCATGTGTCAGTTGGCGTGAAGGTGCCTTATGGGTCCACCTTCCAGAGACCCCTTGCTAAAGCCAAACTGCACAACAAGAAGAGGACGTGTTGACCCAAAGTTGTAGGGCATTTTCTAAAATCATCACCTACACCCCCATCCCGTAACACTTGATCAACGCAAAAATGTAGAACAGCGAGCAAAGCAGGCAATAGTTCAAGGGCTTCATGAACGGCACAACTTTTTGCACAAGCATTTTGCTGACCGCTTTGCCCTTGGAGTTTAGGGTTTAGGGGCCAGAGATCTTTATATTCGTGGAGCAATGAACCCTAAACCCTAAAGCCTAAGCTCTCCTAGAACCCGCTCGAAACCATGAGCATCGCTGGAGCCAGCTGGCTAAGACCCAACTCACTTTTGAGCTGGAGTCTAAACTCCTTAAAGGGGGTAGGTAGGGCATAGGGTTTAGGGCCTAAACTCCTTAAAGGGGGTTACGTGGGGGATTATATTGGTGACTACCACAAAGGTTATTGGGGGGGATACTGGGAGTTTCGACTCTGGGGTTTTAGGGCCCAGGGTTGAGCAGTGTGAAAGGCCCGGTCTGGGGTTCGCGGGCCAAAGCTCTGATTTCTTGGGTCTGGGATTTGGGGTTCAAAGTTTAGGGTTTGAAGGCTAGAGCTCGTGTTTTTGGTGCCGTTTGGGATTTAGGGGTTTAGGGTTTGAGGGCTAGAGCTCGTATCTTTGAGTCTCTTGTACGTGGGTAGCCATCAGGACCTTTGAAATATGCAGGATGGTTCCTGAGGACTTGAAACGAACTATATCTAAAGTTACAAGTTTTGGCCCCGAACAGGGACCCCTAGGCTTTTTTGGGAGATTCTAGGGACCCTTAAGGGTACGTATGGGGTATATAGTAGGCATATAAGGATCCCAGGTAGGGGCCCATGGTTTGAATTTCAGATCAAGCCTTGAGTTCTACAACCCAAAGCCTCATAGTCCCCCTTAAGTAGATAGAATATGGGGTATGTGGGGATCTTATGATAATATACCCAAAGACATATTCTATCTACTTAAGGGGGACTATAACCCCTAAACCCTAAATGGTCGTTTCCATTTTCTTTTCCATTATCCCTATACAACCCCAATATGTACTTTAATATTCTATTTACTTAAGGGGGACTATACCCCTAAACCCTAAACCCTTAACCCTAAACCCTAAAGTCTTAGCTGAGGGCTCGACAACCGCCACGCGGAGCCCGAAGCTGCCCGAGCTTCGCGAGCGGCAAAGAACGTCATGGAGCCCAGGTAAAGCTGGGCGACTGCCGCCACCATGGCGCCCTGACGGGGCCCTCCCACGGAGGTGTAAAGGTAGAGACCCTAAACCCAAGGGTTTTTGCTCTCGCATCCCTG